TCAATGCTCGAAGGTTTCGTAAAATTGAAAAATCGCATTTTCAAGTAACTGATTGACTTTGAGTCTAAAGTTCAGGTAACTGATAAGGAGTTTAATGCAATATTAGCTGTTGCTTCATGCCTTGCGCTAGTAAACCTGGCTTTGGAAACATTGTGCCGAAATGATGCAACACTTTTGTCAGCCAATACAGCATTTTCTGCTCAACTAAAAGATCAGCTAAATCAGAAAGAATATAATCCTCTCCCTTCCACCAGCGTTACTTCAGATTCTAGCAATTCTGTTGACAACGCTGTAAACTTGTCGTTAAAAGAAAAGCTTGACTTTGCAATTTTGAAAAATAAGAAATGTAACAACAAAGGAAGATTGAATGTTTTGAATAAATCTTTAAAATTATATGTAATGAGATGGCAGTTTTCAAAGAAGGAGGAAATTTTGATATAAAATAAATAAGTTTATGGAAATTTTGAGGAAAAGAGGAAATTTTGATATAAAATAAATAAGTTTATGAAAATTTTGAGGAAAGGAGGAAATTTTGATTTAAAATAAATAAGTTTATTTAATCAATAAAAATTTTACTATTAGCTTGAGATTTTATTATGATCATATTATGATCAAACAAGAAAAAAAGTTTAATACCAGTATTATACCGGTATAACCGGTATTGAAAGTTATCAGTACCAAAATACCAGTATTAAAAAATGATATCGGTATTGGAAGCACTACTAAGTGTCAAGACAAGTTGTGCTCATATCTTAAATAATCCTTAAAAAATAAGTTTCATGTTAATTAAACTTTCTAAAACAAATTATTCATCCAGATATTAGTGAAATATTTATAATTTTTATAGTATAAATTTTATGGTTTCAAGGTAAGTTCTGGCTATTTGATCTTTTTTTTTTTTTAAATAATGGTTTGATTAATGCATTACTGTAGTTAATAAAAGATGTCAATACAAAAAAGTTTTTTCAAATAACCTAAACTCGAGTTATAAAAGTTGAGTTTTTCATTCTGCAATTAATTTCATTCTGCAATTAATTTAATGTAGAAGAATACTTTTATATATAATCTTTTATAAAATTTAACGAAATAAAAATAACATGATCAAGTGAGGGTTTTAAAAATTTAACTTATATTTATTTTATTTCAAAAACAGAACTAATATTAGTGCTTTAATATAAGATATGTAAATTTAAAAATATACATATTTTTTATTTATAAAATTTTAAAATAGTGAAAATAAATTTCATTTCATGGTAAATAAAAACAAAATATTTTAATAGAAACAAAAATAAAACAAAGTACAAAAGTGGTATTGTTTGTTTAATTACAATTTTTATTTTGTTAAAAGTCTCAAGTTGAACTAAAATATTTAATATAGCACAAACGTTTATTTATAAAAGGAGAAAACCTAATCTAATTATATAAATCGTTTACTTGGCTATAAGTGCATTTATTATTCAAACCAGATATTTTTACAATGCAAACTATGCAAAAAAACTATGCAGATTCATGAAGTTAATATTTACTAAAGTCAACTGGAAGTGTAATGGCAACTATTATAATTTGCTTTTGGTAATTTAAAAAAATCAAAACTTATTTGCCAATGTTTATTTACAAAATAAACATAAATTGTCTCAGCATTTGGAAACCCCCTAAATAAAATGTGCCTGCAATTTAAATAAAATATACTGCCAACAAGCAATTTAATTTAGTTTTAATTTGAGCATTACAAGCAATTTGTAACTTAATTAAAAAGCATTTCATGTAACAAATATAAAAATTATTATAAAAGATTTGAACTTATTAATGCCTATCATAATTGAAAGTAAAAAAAAAAAAGAATTATTTAAAAAAAATATATTTGTTTAAAAGATTTTAAAAAATTATAAGATAAAAACATTATCTTACAAAAATATCAAAACTTTTACAATAATTAACAAAATACATGCTTATATAAGTAAATGAAGTTATTTTATATTCTTGTTTAATTTATATAAAATGTTCTTACATGTGCTCTAAGCAACTAGCCAAAAAACTTTGAAGTAACTTAAAAAATAATTTGAAGTAACTTAAAAAATAAATCTTTCAAAAAATAATTGTTTAAAATATTTCTAGAAAGACATGGAAAAATAGAAAAATAAAAAAAAAAAAATACATGCCTATAAAAAAAATTATATTCTGAAAAACTTCTAACTTTGGTCTTTGAATAATAAATAACAAAAATAAATGCACATTTCAATTTTTACCAACTTTTTTATCTCCAATAATATTTGTTATCACTTTGTGCTTAAGAATCATAAATAAGCTAAGTATTGAATAAAATGATCATACTTAGCACTAGTATTAATAAGAGTCCTCTTGTTAACTATATTTGAAAAAAAAAAGTTTGAATTTCAAATATCAAGTACTCTTTTTTTTCAAAATATAAAATATAAAATACAATAACTTTGGTTACTTATGAATTGAGGAGCAAACATGCAAATAGTGTTTTGTCCACCAGATCAAATGTGTGGTAAAAAAGAAAAAACTTATTACTAGCTTGTACCCTTACTAATTAGTATTAGTGTTGCGAAGGTAAAATTTTCTGGTAAATTTTATTTATTTATTTTACTTATTTTTATTTTTTTTAAATTTTTTAGGAAAATTTACCATTCTCTATTTAAAATTTACCGGTAAATTTTGAATCAAATTTTACTGGAAAATCACTAATTAGTATTAGTATTTCTTTTTAAATACACTTCTTGTGTATTGATATAGTAAAGGGTAGCATTTATCAGAAATTCTATTATAAAGCTAATATTTTCATGAAGAAAAAAAAAGGACAAAACGCATTTTGTGTGGATCTATAGGACAAAACATTTTTTGAATGTAACTTTCATGGACAAATTTTGATATGAATGAAAACTAAAATTATAAATCATAAAACATTTCAAAAAACATTTTGTTTTTTCTTTTAAAAAAGTTTCATATTCTAACAGATATTTCCTGTTCTAGGCAATCACAATTCTTCTTCCAGTTTTTGTTCAGGTGATGTTGGTAGGCCAAGAATATATTTATAAAAATCAAAACGTCTATCTTCCAAGTCTCGCCATTCATTCCCAATCATGGTGCTTAAAAGTTTTTTGACGTCTTTTTTTTTCTCTGCATTGATAAAATGGCTTAAAGGCACCTTCTCCAGTGTTAAGTTTTTCAAATATCTGTTATTAACATTTCGTTTAGTGAAAGAAAATTTTCAGCATCTGATTCAAAGAAAAAATTTTTCTATGCTCTAACTTTGATCGAGTTTTGGTTATCTTTCTTTTTCTTGATAATATAGATTCGTTTTATATCACTTATGGGTAGATCCTTATAGTATATCTGCAGTGATTTTGTATCTTTTAAACCCCAGTCAATGCCACATTTTCTCACTTCACCTACTTGTGAGTAAATGTCATAATACTTATCTTTAAACTTTATTTTACAAAATAAAGTTTTTTTTGTTTACAAATCGACCACGACTGATTATATGTTTTGATAATTTAAACGCTTAAGAAATGCGCTGAAAAAAAAATGTTAACCTAAACTTAAACTAAGAAAAAAAAAAAACAACTAAAGAATTAGCAAAACAATTCCTTACGAAAAAAAAAAAAATTAGCTTTAAATTAAAACTTAAAAAACTCGAAGTAAAAATTATTTTTGTTACATTTTTTAATTGTATTTTTAAAAAAATTATTTTTGATTTGATTTTATTTAAAGCCTTTGAATAAAATAAAAACTTTAAAAAAGATCAATGATTTTTTCTTGTTATAAACAATTGTAAATTAAACACCTTAGAAAAACTACAAAAAAAAGCAATGAGAATTATATTAAAATATGACTGGTCAACTTACAAAACAGAAGTGCTAAAACTGCTTGGTTAAATCAGTGTAAAAAATGAAATTACTTTTAAATCATTATGTTTCATTCAAAATGTAACATCAACTGAAAATGATATTTTTAAACCATTCTATTTAAAAAATTGTAAATTATATAAACATAACACTAGGCAAGCTAGTTATTTTCATAAAAGTAGCCAATATAATAGAGCACCGCAGAAGTCATTGTCTGTGTATGGTTTGAAACTACACCTTGAAATAGCTTGTGGATTTGTTCAACTGGACACTGAAAAATTCATAAAAAAAACAATTCCAAACATTATAAAATAATCAACTTATTAAATAGTGAACATTCATTTTGTATGAGTTACTAAAATAGATTCAGTAGCTTATTAAATAAATATGTATTAAAAAATAAATATATATGCAAAAAAAAAAAAAGTTTGAAACTGCTTAATCAATATAATGTTTATACTTCAAAATTGTTTTAATTTATATGCATATATAAATTATTTAATCATTAAAAAATCATTTTAACAAATTGTTTTTTATGCTATCTATATATCTATATATATATATATATATATATATATATATATATATATATATATATATATATATATATATATATATATATATATATATATATATATATATATATATATATATATATATATATATATATATATATATATATATATATATATATATATATATATATATATATATATATATATATATATATATATATATATATATATATATATATATATATATATATATATATATATATATATATATATATATATATATATATATATATATATATATATATATATATATATATATATATATATATATATATATATATATATATATATATATATATATATATATATATATATATATATATATATATGTGCAATATATATTTTTCTCCTTTTAAGACTTTTGAATTAAATTTTTTACATAAAAACTTATATATATTTAAAACAAATCGACAAAAATTTGTAACTCAAAGGGAAAATTTATAAAAACAAGTTATAGCTATAATTGTGATTAACTTTATCAGTTATCATTTTAATAGTAAAGATGTATACAAATGTGTATAGTAACTTTTATTAACTAGACTGTACACAAACTTACGAGTAATTCTAATTCCTCCATTGTTGCTAGGGGACATATTTTTCCCTGTGTCAACTAAAGTAGTCGTCCGCACTCTTCCCCCACTCATGAAAAAATGCCAGCTATAAGTTGGTGAAATGGACAATTCTTTTTTGGATATAGTTTCGTAAAATAACCATTAGGAGTTTTATATAAATTCAAATCTAAAAGATTTTATTAAGGAATTATCTTCTTAGACAATTTATTGAAATTGTCATTAAAAATCCCCAAATAACCAAATCTATACTCTAAATTATTTTTTTTTGAAAACACAATGCAAAGCTAAGAAGTCGCTTTCGCAAAATGATTTTTAAAAGCACTCCTGCAATGGATTATGGAGATGAATATTTTTCGATTTTTATTTTCATGGAGATAAAATCAAATTTAAAAAAATCTCAAGAAATAAAATCTCAATATTTAAAACTAGGAATGAAATTTTTGTTTAAAGTAGACTTAAACATTTATATCATAAGTATTTTATTAACTAATCTTTAGCTATTTGTTTGTTATTTTTATTTTTTATTCTCGCTGTTGTCTTGCTTTATATATATATATATATATATATATATATATATATATATATATATATATATATATATATATATATATATATATATATATATATATATATATATATATATATATATATATATATATATATATATATATATATATATATATATATATATATTATAACGTTTCGAAATTATTTTTTTATTATAATTTCGTAAAACCATTACTTTTGTGACATCATTATTTTGTATTAATTCATATTTGCTTTGGTAATGATAATAAAAAATTACTTTTCTATGTTATTTCAAGTATTAAATATATCATACAAAAAAAAAAAAGATTACGAAACAGTATTTGTTTTTCAAAATAAAACATATTTTGAAAAAAATTAGGATCCATTGAGTTACACTACGAACAAGACCTAATGTGCCCAGAGTTTCTCTCCATAGGGCGAATAGATGTGGGTTGTAGTGTTGAATATTCCATTCATTTTAAATATAAAACAAACACGTAGCAAATCCTCTATGATAAATCCTATGTTGATAATTGTTTTTGATACTGCGAGAAATTTAAAATAACAAAAAAATATAAAACACAAGTAGAAATCGAATATTTAAAGTTAATTAGAGTTATTGGAAAACTAATTTGCGTTTTTTATTACTTATCGATAATTTATTGAGTTGAAACTGTCGATTTTAAAATTAGCTTCTAATTTCATAGAAGACATACTTATCTGAAATACAATCATTAATCTTCCATTTTATTTGTTTTTCTTGTTTTACTCCGTCAAAGTGTTTTTTAACATTTGACATAAAAAATTAAATATAGGTATTTTACTTTTCAGCTGTTCATGGTTTTATCTATCAATGTATAAAAATTTAGTTAAATTTTATTTATATGTTTATATTTGACTAATTTCTACGGCTTCAACCTGTTTATTAGAACAAGGACTCGGAAAGTGTAATTATTGTTAACTGTAACGCTTGTTTGCGTGCGTTACAGTTAACTACTGTAACTTGTACGTACCTGTCGCTGAACCACGAAAATTCTACCCTCTCCAAAATTAGGGGTTGTAAATTTAATATTGTTATAACTTTTACACACTAATAGGTTGTTTAATGAAATTTAAAATTGACAAAAATTATTGACATAATTAATGGACAGCCCTAAAAACACAAAAAAAGAAAATACAATGACTTTAAAGCGTGAATTTTTTTACAAGAATGGTACTAAAATTAACTAGAAAAGTATCTAATCATTTAAAAATCTATCATCGGGGTGCACCGATGTATCGGCATTGACAACGGCATTGGCATTGGTAATTGTTTTGAGAGCATCGATTTTTTTATTTTTGTGTTTCTATACAAAATTATTTCTGTGTTTGTAAACATTTAGTTATGCCTTAAGCACAAATGCAATATATAAGCTTAAGTTATTATACAGGCATATCTGCAACTACTAAACCTTTTGAAATATTTTTGAACTGTTTTATATTAGGTGCTCCTCACTTCTTAAGTATTTTTTTTATAACTTAGAGCAGTTATATGACTTATGGATCCATACTATACATAGTGAGAAGTTTAAAACGTGAAAGAAACAAGTTGATTACAATTTTTTTTAAATTATTTTAAACTAGAATTGTATTCAGCATTCAAAAATATTACCATAAAAAATTTGTAACCTCCTCAAATTGAGGGAGGTTAAAACTTTTTATAGTCATAACTTTTGAATGCTGAGAGAATATACTATGGAACTTATTATTTATCGATGAATATAAGTCTAGTTTGAAATAGTAAAAAAATATATTCTATCAACTTGATGCTTTTCACGTTTATCGTCAAAACGTAATTTTTTTACTGAAAAAGTGGTTATTTAATTATAAAATAAGATTAATTAGCGAAGTTTTTATCTGAAAAATGGATTTTTTTTACGTTTATAGCAATCGATTTATTTAATTATTTTTACGCTAAAAACTGCGCGTTTTACGGAAAAATTTTAATTTTTAATTGACTCCTGAATTTAAAAGTTTTTAAAAGTTTGAAAAAGTTTGTAAAATTAGTTTAAGGTCAATTTACTTATATAATAATTTTCTACTAATGGTATTACTATTTTATATTAGCTTTTGTATTAAGAATGGCCATAGAAAGATCTTTGCAAAACTTTTGAGCTCTCCCATCATCATCATCTTCAAAAAAAAAATTTAACAATATGCGCTTCATGCTTAGTGGCGATTTTTAATTGGCTCATGCTTCTTTTCATAATATAATAATATAATGGTAATGTAGGTCTAATCAACATTTATCTCAGAAGAAAGGTTTTAGGTAGAAGATTTTTCTTCTTCTGTATGTTATAAGCTTACTAGATAAATTTTTTAATATATTTTTTATTCAAAATGGCGCATACATTCAAAGAGAGATTTTTTATCAAAAACCTTAAACTTCAGAAAAAAGTTAAAAACGGGGCCTAACACCTAGAAAAGATTTTATCTGGATGAAATATTACCAGATAATTAGATTCAATTAGTTTTAAGACGAAATGATGCGTAGTTTTTTTGAAATAAACAACATTTTTGAGTGGGGTAATGAAGGTCTATATATCAATGTGTTTGTGCCGTTAAGAATCTAATGCTTACACAACAATAAATACCTTTAAAATGAAACTAGTATAAATTGGAAATTTGACTATACTTCTAGATTTATTTTCTAGAGTCATGTTGCTAAGGATTCCTTTAGATGGTCTTTAAGATGTAATGATATCAGGTTTTCAATTCAAACTAGTAGATAACGCAGCGTACAGTTTTAAAGGATTGCACATTAAATTTTTATAATGTAAACATGTCGTTTTTGTAGAATAATGAATTTTTAATATATAACACTAAAATTTTCAGATAATTAAAGCCTTTGCTTTAAATTTTTCCTTAAACATAACTTTATCCTGCTTTGACTTTGAAATTTGAATAACATATATTCAATTTTCAATAGAGAATTATAATATGATTCTAAATATTAAGAAAATTCGTAAAAAAAAAAAAAAAAAGGGAATTAAACCACAAGAATCATTTTTAGTAAACAACATCAAAAAAAGATTATACACAATTTTTAAGGATGTCTAAGGAGCACTAATTTGAGTTATATTTTATAGACCCACATTACCCCGCTTAGTGAAGAAATCTGGGTTTAAATTACATTTTTTTTTTTCAATCAAATAAGTATTATACTTAAATTATTTGATTAAAAGCTTAAACATCATAGTTTGAAACATCATAGTTTGATAGATGTTTTAAATGCAAAAAAACTTTACTCGTTGAAAGCGCTAAATTAGAAACGCAAAATGAATATTTTTTTCTGTCTATGTTAGCTAATTTTCAAGGAATGCTGAGCATGTCTAATCATGATTTTTAGATAATTTTCTTAAGAAAAACATTGTTTTAATATATAAATTTTTTGCTTAAAGTCAGAAATAGATAAAAATAGGATCATATTACCCCACCCTACCCTAAATTTAGACGCGTTACATATGAATGTTGTTTAATTTTTTTTTTGTTTGTTTGCGATTAACAAACGCCTATGATAACCAACAGAATGATGTACAATTTTAACAAAATTTATCATAGTGTAGTGTTGCGGTTCTAAAAATACGTCATTATCGGATTAATATAAGGACAAATATTTTACCGAAACAATAGAATTTTATAATAAAGCAAGTCATTATGGGATTGATATGCAGACAAAATCATTTTGTGACGTCACCAAATCCTTACCTTATTTAAATAATCACGGTGACGTGACGTAAATGTGCTTATAAAGTGACGAAAGATGTTTTAAAAACCTACAATTTAACTTGTTTGCAAATTTAATTTAGTATAAGACTTTAGTTTAAGAGTTAAAGTTTATAATCAAAAAAATAAAGACTTATTATGGGCCACAATACGTAAACATTTGTTTTATAAACAAATTAAAGCTTAATAATAGTTTTTTAAACAGTTTTTATTTTAAATCTCAAATGGGTTTTTAACCTACGGATATAATTTTTTTTTTTTAGGCCGCACGGCCGCCGTGTTCCCATTCTAAAAAGGCTATTCGCACGGCCGCAAAACCAAATCTTGCAATCAATTTTTGAGTCACTTCCTGATGATAGATTTTCTTCAAATTTTGCATACATACTCTTGCTTGATGACAATATAATATTCAATAATTAGTTATGCAATAAGGTAACTAATTTAGTTAATTTTAATTAAATTTATTTTTTATATGAAAAGAAGAATTTAAAATTTATAAATAAGTATATTAATTGTTTAAACACTTAAACGCGTGTTCAGCTTATTTGGTAAAGTCGTCGATTTTGTAAACAAAAGGTCGGAGGTCCGAATCTTGCCTTTTCCTCGATATTTTTTAAGTTATTTTACACCCGAATGTTAATAAAATAAAATAGGATTATCAGAAAAAACTTATTGCAAAATTTGTGTATTTAAAACATATAAAAGCACTGGGTTTTAAAATTAGTTTTTAATATTACTTGTTCTTTTCGCGCTTTTTTTAGAACTTTTTTAGTTTTCTA